TGGGGAATTCTGGGAGTTGAAGTCCACACATCTTCAAATTGCCAAGGTTGAGAAACACTGGGCTATAATAACAATCTTGCAAGTCTGATTGCGCTGGACCTCCACCCCCCCTTATACCTCAATGAATTAGGGATGCGTCTGCCTGAGTCACTTCCGAATATTATCTGGATGGTCCGGATGTAAAAACGTTTCAGCTTTTATTTAGGCAACAGATCTTGCATATCTCCATCAAGGTAATTCCCCTTGCTCTTTCTACCACCAGCAGCCTGAACACTGAGTTCATCAGCATTTGACTTTGAAATGCCAGTCTGGCTTCAACACAGTTTCTTCCCATCAGTTAAAGACCAGATTTTTTATATTCTAGCATTCAACATTAATAGCTACAGCATGCTTTTGTTCCATGGTGCATCTCATTATTTTTCAGGGTTTTAAAGTATGGTTTACTGCTATTTCACGGTATGGCTTGTAACCTGCTTAGAGGTTCTCGGGACAATGGGCAACTATTAAATAAAAATAAATAGGTATACAGGTCAGTTTTACTGGTATACTGAAAAAGGTCTTCTGAGTGTTTCTGAGTGCGTGTGGAATACTGCAAGAATCTGCCAGCATTTTGGACTTAGGTTTTACCACTCCCAATGCTCTGAAAGCATATGCTATTCTGAGACACATGGCCTTGAAAGAATATGGTCCAGGAACACTGGTGAATGATTTGAATATGGTCTCTTGCTAGTGATTGATGAAGAACTGGAGAATTTCTGTAGAAAAGGTAGATGCTGAAAGCACTGTCAACATATGATGCTTGCTAGCAACCACTTTGGTATTATGGATGCTTTTTCTTGATACTCAAGCATTAGAGCATCTATTTCCCCAATCTGGTGCCCTTCCATGCTGGCGAGAAACTTGTGGAAAAATTGTCCTGACACACGTGGAGAGCATCAAACTAGAGGCCATCAATGGCTTCTCTTGATGTATTTCAGTTGAGGTTTGCAGGCCAGATGGTGTGGCTGAAGAAGACATCAAGGAATATTTTCTGTAAGTGCTGGAACTGAGTATAATCTTGATTGCGAGAGGAGTTGATGCAGTATTTAAATTATATGCATAAGCATCTCATAGAATCCATGGCAACTTCATGCGTGTCATTGCATCGTCTACATATGTCAGACCTGTGGTACCACTTGACTCCCAGGAGTGTATGCATGAATGTCTGCTACATTTTTGCTGTTGTGAAATGGAATTTTTATACACACACATAAAAATGGTTAATTTCATGATGTGTAATTTCATTATTTACAAATGATGTGTAATATCCCCAAATGTCCATTTTGTGAAAAAAGCCACATTTATCCACTTAGCACAACTCTTGGAAAATCCAGCAAGTTGACAAAGGTTCCCCTCCATTTCATGAAAATAAATCTTGGCACTTTGTGCAATTTTTCATAGGGTGGAAATGGGTGGTGGGTTTGTCTGGATAATCTAATTCTTTTATTTCATGGAACAGATTACTTGATCAATCAATAATCACAGTATAATTTCCATTCAAGCTCTCTCCCTGCTCCCAAAATAATGGGGCTGGAATTCTTTGTGAACAAGTGACTTGTGAGATACAAACAAACATCACAATTGTATGTAAACTTTTTTTTTTCACAGCAGCCAAAAAGAATTCCACTTGCCAAGGATCTCTTTCGATCTGTAGAAGAACCAAAAAGTCCTCATTTCTTGCTGATCTCAAAACAGCAGAAAGGGGGGGCCTGGATTTGTATGGGGCGAGAATCTAGATGATTACAGCTCAAATCGTTCCCCAAACAGGGCAACTCTGTTAAGACACTTTTTCTCAAATTAAGCCACCCCATGTTGCTGCTGTAGGAAGAAAAATGAGTATTCACTCCGGCAGATGCCATAAATTAATTTATATATTCAATTCAATACACATAAAACTAGGAATGTAGAAAATATACATGCTAGTGAATGAAAAAAGGGCTCTCTCCAATCACTGGCTGTGCCCGATGTGATCCAAAGCTGAGCGCACCGTCCCGTTTCAAGTACCTGTCGCTGAATGTACTTCCTCCGCCGAGAATGTGGAGCTCCCCAGTTCTAGGAGGGGACCTCCGTAGGTGTGGAAGCTCCAGCATTTGTAAGGCACTGCAGAATCCATGTGCTTCGTTGGGATGGGCACACGATACTTTCCTAATTATGTTTTTGATCATCTCGGAAATGCATACGGTACTTATGTACTTGTCGCCTGTTTTTTGGAACTGAAAAACTTAAATACCGTCCCAAACCATCCAGAGATAGATTTGAAAATCAGAGGCTGCTGTAGCTGGCAATCACTTGTTCCAAAGTTGTGAAACAGCCCAGAAAGTCATCGTCTTCAATCCCAAATTTTGAATACTGGTGAATATAAGCCCTGTGTGGAATGAACAAGAGCTTTCGGTAAGCAAGAGGTACCGGCCCAACTCAAATTATCCGTGACTGAGGGAAAGTAAAGGGACGTCAATTGATTGTGGACAAAATCAATCCATTGGTTTTGATTAGTTTCAGTTTGATTAGATTCAGAGCCAGAAACATTGGTGCACTTTTACATCCTGAGTGCGACTGGAGATAAGACTTCCTTTCCCCGTTGTCTACTCACTTCCTAAACTGGACCAGCCCTCCAACTTCATCCTACAAGGTGGCTGGCAACCTGCAGAAAACACCCCATCCCTGGAAGTCCTCTCCAACTAAAAATGAGCATGATGTTCTGAGGTGGGGGAACGCAGAAAAACCTTAACCCAGGGTTAGCCCAGTTTAAAAAGCAAAGCTCTCCAACCCCCAGAAAAGGTTGAAACTCTAAGCCCTCCTGATGCAAGTGAGGCCACACTCTTTGCATTACTGTCCCACCTCTGTGGCCCCTACTTTGCCCCCCACATATTATATGGCCCCTGACCCCCAAAGCCATGCTGCTCCTGCCTCACAACAAGCTGAAACGTGGGCTGACATAATCAGAAAGTGGAGCATCCTTTCCCTTCCCCATGACAGCATCAGAACAAACTATTTGGAAAGAGAGAAACTGAGCAGATAATAACTTGCAAGATACAGTTCTTTGTTGCTAGAAGATGTAAACTATTCAGACATTTAAAAAATTAACACAGATTCTGTATACACCAATTTATACTTCCCAGGTTCAGAGTGGTTAATGTGCTTTCACTGGTCCCACTCACACCAAAACAACTGCATATTAGTGAGAAATAACAAGCAATTAATTTCTTTTCAACTTACTTGGAAGCAAACATTTTCCAAGCCTTGCCCACTAGGCTATTGAGAGGGGTGAGCAAAAATTGGCTATTGCTGACTAAAGACGCAGACTTCTCATACTTATTAAAGGCTCTTGGGGTCTTCCAGATGCTCAAAGCCTGCAGAGAATTTAGCCAGGAAGTATACAAGGCTGGATCCTGGAAACCACCTGTGACAGGCAAGAAAGTGCAATGTTAGATCTGATTACAGGTAGTCCTCACTTAGTGACCACAACTGGAACCGGCAACTTGGTTGCTAAGCATAAAAATCACAACCTTGCCCTTCGGTTGTTAAGTGAAATGACACGGCCGCTAAGCAAAAAATCACATGACTGTGACTTATGATTTTACTTCTGCCTTCTGTAGTAACTCTGCTTGTCACAAGTGAAAGTGCACGCTGGTTGCGAAGTATGCGAATGGCAATCACATGACTGCGGGACACTGCGATGGTTGTAAATGCGAGGATTGGTTACATTATTTTTTTAGCATTGTCGTAACTTTAAATGGTTGCTGCACAAGGCGGTCAGTAAGTGAGGACTACCTGTATTATATTTCTGTCTTGCTCCTTTTAAAGAGCTCCAGAAGTAAGATCAAGCAGGTACAAAAGACTTGAGCGACCTTCTTTTCCCCACTGGCCAATTCTCTCTGGGTGGAGAGGGAAGTGCTGTGCCAGGCCCCCTCTTTTTCTGTCTGTAAGACCTTTCCACCCCAGCTGGTTTTAATCTGACTTTCCACCGTTTAAGCTAGCAAGTGGTTGTGAACTTTTAGCACTATACAAATGGAACTATGACTCTAACGCAGCGTTTCTCAACCTTGGCAACTTTAAGATATGTGGACTTCAACCCCCAGAATTCCCCAGCCAACATACTGCCAAGGTTGAGAAACACTGCTGTAGTGATTTGCCCACAGAATTCAGTGGTACCTCCATCCTGTCCATCATGTTTTCCATAGGTCGAGGTTGGCCAGCCGAGAGACAGCAAAATGGGTCACGGAATGGACGGGAGGAAAACCTTGCTGAACTGGAAATGTGCTAACTGCCCAGGAGTAGTTTGCATTGCAAATCAGAGGAGTTCCTTCCAAGGAACCAGGCGATTTCCTACACAGGCCAGACAGCTGCTTTGGGGAAGCCAATGAATCAGGTTTGAAAGCGACTTCTCTCCCTTGTTATCTGCCCCACAACATCTCACAGGGGCACATCAATGGCTGCTCTTTTTAATCCATCTATGAATTTGCCTAATTCTCTAAAACAGAGCACTTGCAGGCAGGATAGGAATTGAAATTACACAATTCTCAAAAGTCCCATTGATTCAGCATTCTATCCCTCATGAAATAGTAATTCTCTGCAGTGCTCATGGCTCTGGAATGCCTGCAACTTTATACTGTACAAAGAGTAAGTCATCCTTCTTTAAAAACTCCTCTTTGGGTGCCCCTTACGTCAGGATTATGTTTCCACTCACAACTTGCCGAGTTTATGAGAACCTCAAATGCAATAAAGCCCCTCTCAGGATATACCACCAGTTTTATCTCAGTTCAATAGATGATTACGAGAGAAAAGAAGAGAAAGTTAACAAAAACACTGTGCGAAGCTATCCCACAGCATCTGATTAACCACTGTTGAGAGGTAGACTACTGGACTTCCAGAGAAGAAATGGTGGACCGAAGACAGCTCTGCAAAAGGCGGAGCCAAGGACCATGGCGGAATGAAGAGCTGGTGATTAGACCGGCTCTTCACAATTCCTCTCTGGACAAGGAAAGATCACCCACAATGCTCCAGACGATTGCTCCTTGCGAGGAGACAGCAAGACAGCAGTCTCCGGAGGTTTAGAGCTCTGGGAGATGAGGGAATAGCCATCTTGCTCAAACCGCAGTCAGCACCTTTAAAAGGACATTACATTTTCATGCTTTCTTTTCTAATCACTTTCGGAAATTGCTTGTCAACTGCTTTTCAGTTAATGGGAACTTTCAGATCGACAAGTTTTATACAGCACTGGATGAGTTTCCTTCAGTCCTTAGCGAAAGACGTTAACTACAAGTTTAAGAACTTAAACACTTTTTTTGGAATAAATAGCAAAAGGGTGATTCAAACTTTGATTTTAGAAAGTTACAAATGGAGTAAGGGTCCAGATAAAAATTTGAAATAAGGTTTTGGAATTAATTATAAGAATCCTTCCCATGGGAAATGCTTTTGTTTTGAAGTCTTAAAAAAAACATAAGTCTTTAAAAATTGGACACTAGAGGGAACTAGATGGAACTGAAGATTATAATTAAAGGAGAAGAACACTCAAACTCAACTCACAATTATAGAATGAAGCAAAATATTTTAACATTGGACACACTGAAGGATATTTTTGAACAATGGACCCAGAAATTAATTTTAATAGCATCTGTCTCTATAGATAGATTGTGTTTAAAATATTTATTTGTTTATTTATTTGTTTAATTTCTATAGCCGCCCATCTCAACCAGGTGACTCTGGGCAGTGAACAATTCTAAAACAATTAAAGACAATACAAAAATAAATATATACAGCAGCTGAGAAAGATGCTATAGAAGAGGAACAAGTTTTACCTGACAAGATCAAGACTGATTTGAAAGTGGATTTAAAAATGACAGGCTACAAGAATAACATTGAAAAAGATGTTACACTGGATATACAAAAGGAACTAGCTGATGTCTTAATCATTTAAAAAGGATATACAAATAGCAAACCAAAAGAATGACCTGGATAATTTTCCTATACAGAATTTACAGAAGAGGCTTGTTAAAGTTTTGAAGAATGTTGTGAGAAGGGACAAAGAAAAAAATGGAACATTACAACATTATTTGAAGGGACTAAAGATTAAGATCGTTAGAAGTAAAAGGAAGGAATACAAATTCAGTTTATTTCACCAAGGTTAAAATAGAGATGTTGTTATCGCTGGTAAGCCTTAATGGACTTTGACATCAGGACTGAAATGACAAGGTTTTATGGATTTGTTTATAAAGAGGGAATATGGGAAGAAGAAATCATTTGTTGTATTTTATGAGAAGGTGATAAGTTACTAAAATTGTTTATACTTGTGGTATTGAAGGGCAAAGTAATTTCTTTATATATTTCTTTTCTTTTTCTTTAATATATTCTTATTTTTTCTTTCTTTTCTATTGTTTCTCCTTTTTCTTTTCTGCACCTTCTATTTTTTCTTTTTATTCTTTTATTTTTTAGTTTGTATTAGTTTTTACTGTTGTAATTTTATTAAACTTTATTAAAGAATTAAATAAAATAAATTAATTTAGTTTATTAAACTTTATTAAGAAATTAATAATTTTATTAAACATTACAGTTAAACAGATAACAGTCTCTTTTTAACTTCTGCATCCTTTGCTCACAAATATCCTGCAAAACATCCAATGTTAAAGTATTTTGCTCCATTCCATGTTAGTAAGTCAAATTTAAGTGTTTTTCTCCTTTAATTGTAATTCCTAGCCTTCCGGCTCCCTCTTGTGTCCAACATTCAAATTCCCATCTTATCGTGTTGTCATTTAAGAATTCAAAAACAGCATTTTCCTATGGGAAGAATTCTGATGATTAATTTCAAATCCATCTGGACCCTTAGTCCATTTTTAACTTTCCAAAATCAACATTCTAATCACCCTTGTGCTGTTTATACCAATTTCCCGCGCAACTTTATCAAAAAGTGCCTGGCCACTCAACCTACTACAACACAACCAACGCAAGCTATAAAAAGGATAACACTGCCATACATCAGAAACGTCTCAGAAAATACCATCAGACTATTACAACCACATGGCATCTCCATAGCACACAAACCAACTAAAGCCCTTCAAAACATCTTAAGCAAACAAAAAGACCCAGTAGCCAAAGAAGGAAAAACAGGAGTCATCTACACCATGCAATGTAAGGATCGTGGCAGCCACTATGTA